CGTGTCAGTCGCTATTTACTGTTAACTGGGTTAAATACAGGACAGCAAAAGGGGATCAGACAAAGGTCAAACCAAGCGGAGGGTTAAAACACTCATGGAGGAGAACCATTCACAATCAACAAAGGTGGGACACAATCAAGGCTGATGAGGTGAAAGAAAAAGAATAACTGAGGACGTCTAGGGGAAGAAACAGTGTGTCAGTGTGTGTGGATGTGTGTGGATGTGAGGTGTGTGTGTGCGCTCTGTGGTGGATATCCTTGTGAGCGTCCTCAGTTGCTCTGCTCGAGATAGAATTGTAATTGTAATTGTATTTATTTATTGAAATGGGACAATGCACATTAATCAACACTGAACAAGCAATGTAAACGCGCCGGACTTATGCATAAATGCTCATTTTCAGCCGTAGTCCCAAGAACACAGTGAAACACATAAGACTGTAAAACCACGATGACAGAAATAAGAAACAAATAAGCAAAACAACATAAGACAGACAGTATCTGTGGACAAAGACAAGCAGTTACAATACACAATTACAAGACAACAGACCGGGACAGACAGTTTTAGACTGCATTACAAAACGACGGACCAAGAGACAATTCACTCACAGCTACGAAGAACAATACAAGATAGAGAGTAGAAATAACAAAATATAAACACAATAACACAGCAAGGCAATCGAAATGTGAACTCTAGAAAAAAGATACAGACACAAAATGTACAGAAAACACTAAAATAATACACATCATGTCACTATAAAGTCACTCGAATCCCTCAGATTCACGTCTTCAGTGACCGACACATCGACACAATTATTTCCTGTTATGTTGTTATAATGTCCAGCGAATTCAAGGCTAGTCGATTTCATTGGCGCCGTCCTTAATCACAGCTACAGTCTCAACGCTTAACCCCGTAAAGCCCTGTAAAGAGCAGAGGGGGAAACTCCCCCAAAACCCCAGAGGAAGGAGCGCCGAGGAGGGAGCCCTCCTCCCGGCTGATGGACAGACCTGTCGGTGAATAATGGAGGGTGTGCATGGTGTCCAGAGGGCGAGCGGACCTAAAAGTAGCGCATGGAGAGAGCGTTTCTGTGAAGGGTGCTTCATATTGACAGAAGGCTGCGCTATTCTCAGCAGGCGATCAGCCCCCCCCCGCCCCCCCCCACACACACACACACACACACAACACACTCACGCATCCACACAGCTGTACAAGCTTTCTGTCTCTCTCTCTCCTGCCACTCTCTCTCTGTCTCTCTCGCTCTCTCTCACACTCTCTCTCTGTCTCTCTCGCTCTCTCTCACACTCTCTCTCTCTCTCTCTCGCTCTCCTTCCTCTCTGTCTATCTGTCTTTATCCCCCCCCCCCCCCCCCCCCCCCCCCCCCCCCCGGGGTCCTTTCATCCCCTCCCTCCCTGTCAATTGAACGTGGAGAGGATCTCATGCAGTTTTTAGCTGTGAAGTGTGTGAGTTCGGCTCAATACACACACACACGCACGCACTCACACACCATCTATGTATGTTCTGTTCAGTGTGAGTGTTTGTACTGGTCTCTCTCTCTCTCTCTCTCTCTCTCTCTCTCTCTCTCTCTCTCTCTCTCTCTCTCTCTCTCAGGGTCTCTCTCTGTTTCATCTATATTTAATGGGCTCTCCTCTTTTGATCAAAAGTGAGTAAGGGAACAAATACTTTTAGCACTTAGTAGAAATATTTATTTATAGTTATTTATTTATTTATATGTGTGTGTTTTGCAGTATACTATAGATGCTTGATCCTGATTGGTCGACAACGGGTCCCTTATCTATATGTGTGTATGTTGCTGTATTATAGGGATGCATATTGAATATATATATATATATATATATATATATATATATGTGTGTGTGTGTGTGTGTGTGTGTGTGTGTGTGTGTGTATTGCAGTATCCTAGGGATGCATATATTTGGCTGTAAGTTCAGTCTGAAGACGGAGACAGGAGACACGGTGCCGGACAGGAAGAACTTTGACTCTCTGCTCTGGGCCATCGTCACTGTGTTCCAGGTACCACACACACACACACACACACACTCACACACACGCACACAGATTTATAAAGCACACACACACACACACACACACACACACACAGATTTATAAAGCACACACACACACACACACACACACACACACACACACACAGATTTATAAAGCACACACACCCACACACACACACGTGCACACACACACACACACACACACACACACTCACACACGCACACAGATTTATAAAGCACACACACACACACACACACACAGATTTATAAAGCACAC